TATATATATATATATATATATATATATATATATATATATATATATATATATATATATATATATATATATATATATACACTTTATTTTATTGTTGCTTATACTTATAATCTATCCCCAATATTTGGAACGTTGACGCGTAATTATCCTACAACGAAAGCTTATTGCATTAAGGTTGATAGCTACTGTAACATTTGATCTGTTATCCTCGATAGATTGCGAGGATATGCTCCAAAACACTCTCTTCTTGATGGGCGAGATCGGGGGGAACGACTACAACTTCCCATTGTCTCAGGGAAGAAGCTTGCAGGAGACAGAGTCCTTCGTTCCTCTAGTCGTCGACACCATCAGCTCGGGAATCAATGTAGAACTCCAACTCTATGCATCTTAATTGTCGTTCCATCTGAATCGCTGTTGCCTTTTGTCGGCCAGAAACTGATCGAGTTGGGAGCGCGAGCGCTGCTGGTTCCAGGAATCACTCCTCTCGGATGCAACACGGTCTACCTCACCACCTACCGAAGCGATCGAGCTGAAGATTATGACGCCATTGGGTGCATCAGGTGGTTGAATGAGTTCTCTCAGTACCACAACGGCCACCTGCACGACGAGGTCCGGCGGCTGCAGGCGCTGCACCCTGAGGCCGTCATAATCTATGCCGACTATTACGGTGCCATGATGAACATCTTCAGCGATCCAGAGCGATTTGGTACCAGAATTTTTCCGTGAATCTTGTCGTACTAAAATATGAATCTGATCGAGCTTTTACAAGTCATTTGTGAGGAGATCGACGAGGTGTTTGTGGTGGTTTCAGGAATCGAGGAGCGGTTCTTAGCGTGCTGTGGAGGTGGCGGCCCGTATAACTACAACTCGTCACGGCCGTGTGGGAGCGAAGGGCAAACGGTGTGCGACGATACTTCGACATACCTTCATTGGGATGGCTTGCATATGACCGAAGCCACCTACAGGATCGTCTCCGTTGGTCTGTTGCAAGGACCATTCGCCGTCCCTGCCATCGCCACCACATGCCCAGCCACTCGATTCAGCTTCACCCACCCGTCCTCCTCTACTCTGAGTTCTGCCTCCTGATGATTTGTGTTAGGGATGTTTCCTTGCAGTGATTGACGACGAGTGTTCTCGTTGGATATGGTTTGATATTGCTAGTCGAGCATTGGAATAAAAACATATGGTTTGATATTGCTAGAGTGTTATTTGTATGTATTAGTTATGATTTAATTCAATGGTAAGATTTAAATCCTCGATTAATTCAATGATATGGCCAATATTTTCCACCCAACCAAACATCAAGACGTGGAATACAGTTTACCAAAATTGGACGAGATAGTATGAAAACAACAAAGATATTAATTCAATACAATGCACCAAATTTTTTACACTTGCAATGTAGCTGGTCAAGTGGACTGAAAGCTTCCCTGAATTAAAAGAAGAGAAATCTAGTATTGATTACTGCACCAAATCCAAGCAACATAGCTCCTTAAATTTGACATGATACAGAATGAAGCATGTAAAACATTGCAACAGTGATTCCTTAACCAAATTTCACAAGCTATATAAGTCTGTTTTCACAACAGTCAGACAAATTTCTTAGCAAAGGCCAAAGTTGAGCTGAGATCAGTGATGGGTCCAAGTCCAAGACATGCATGGGCTGGAACAATTTTTCTGGGTGCTGGTCATTTGGAAGGCCAGGCAATATACAACATGAAGAAATAACAACAGATATGTCTGCAGCAGCAAGAACTCATAGGCTATCATTCTGATTGAAGGACATAGTACGCACTCCTAGGAACAACCCTTCGAGTCCACGACAACCGATCCTACATGCCATTGAACTGCAAGAAAAGAGATACATAAAGATTGTCACCTTATTTACCTCTATTTATATTAATATAGTTACACAAACAAACATGAGGCAGCATCTTACAATATTAATTTACAGATATCCTCTTATACACTCATAACATGTATATAATTTGTTTAAGAAGAAACATCATATGTGTCCACATGAATGAAAATATCAAATTTACTCCTTAAAAATGTGAAATATATTGCCTGCTCCTTGAGAATTCAAGAATTATCAAGAATGCCATTCTTCATTGGTAGAGGTAAAAAATCTAAGATAGAAAAATCGTGTATACCCCTGGTTACAGAAAGATACTACCAAATATTTCAACATTTCAAAGAGTAAATCCATGATTACTCACTTTTCCACGAATGTGCGAAAATTTTCCTTCATTCAAATAACAATGGATCAGCAGGTCAGCTCTGGGATCGATCCCAAGACCCAGTCACAGCCAGTTTAGACCACTTTAACAGATTTTTTTGCCTGTTTGGACTGATTTCGACCAACTCAAGATGACCCCATTTTGATTTCAAGAAATATACTCTGAAAATCTGATCCAACTGCTGATGATTTCAAATGCTAAAACTGATCCTAGACCAACCAGCAAACCATGCATATAACTCCATGCATGGTTCACTCCCATGAAATGAGATAAGATGTCAGAAGATGGAAATTGTCAATCTCGACACTTTTAAAGATTGTATACAAATCTAGATGGAGGTTAGCCCTCAAATCATAACTATTATGCTAAACCATGAATATATACAAGAACATCAAGCCATAAAGTCTTGAGCCAGATACAAGATAATATTTCTAGTTAAATCAAAAGCATCCAAGATATTCTTTTTATTTCCACAAAAGTCTTCTTTAAGTCTTCAACCACCTCTCCTCACACCACTGCTACTAATCAACTTGTCTCGTCCAACCACAATATCTACAAGACTCCTTTAAACAAGCACAATTGTTTACATGTGAACATTTCTTCTCTACCATTCCAAATAATTCCACATATCCATCTTAGCATTTTTATCTCAATTACACATACTATCTACACGTTATTTTTTTAGCAGTCCAACCAATGGTATCAAACTCATTTTCCTATCTAAGATTATAAGAGGATACATAAATTTGGATCATGAGATTGAATGATAGAATCATTAACTCCTACGACATTCAAAATTAATTTTAAGACTCACATGTATAAATATATTTTTGGTTAGCATTTAGTAATTTTGATATATATTAAGCCAATAGTTGTGCTATTATACAAGTGACTACATAATCAAATAAAAGTAATTTTTTATAGATGAATAAGATAGTACATAATGCATAATTGAAGTACAAATTTGAAGTTGCGAATGTTTTTTACTTGTGAACGACAACAGGTGCATGCTTTCTTCAACAACAAATATCAACCAACATATACATCACTAACATCACAAAATAATATATTTTTGCCACCATATATAAGCTCAAAATATACGAGACATAATAAAAATGCTAATAAATATGTCCAAACCATCATAATTCTCACAATAAGTTCATATTATCAAATAGAGGTTACATGAATCTCCTCATTCAATATTAAGTTCAAATGAAAAACAAATAAGCTCAAAAAAAAATTTCTAAAATTTGAACTTCACATCCCCATCCTCACTGTCCTCTTGGACGTCATCCTCTAGTATATCAATGTTTAACTTAAATCTTTTAAAATCTCTGATGGCTCAATTACTTCCACATCGTCTACTACCTTGAGATCTTGTCCACTGTCAATTGCTTCTTGATCTATATCTTTTTTATTTCGTTGTCTTCATAAGTTGGTTCAACATCAAGGACATCAAGTCAATCCTTATTTGTCAATAAGCATCTTCCCACAGAAAGTTCATCAAAAACAATCTCCCCAAATAGCAACTACTTATATAAGGTTGACAATCAATTGAATGTTGTATGATAAACATCACTCAAGGAAATCTAAAGAACTAATGGAAAGTAACAGTTGCCACAATTGGAAAAAGTGGTTTGGGTTCAATTTCTGTAAAACACTCCCATGTTTGTGATATTTAATTCATCTAACTTTGATCTTTGTCCATTTATGTAATAGTCTGAAAACGACGTGTACATTGCAGCTTGTTGACGATCTACAGGATTTATGGATTTAGTTATCCCGGGACAAAGCAACAGAATTATAACAAAAACTATTCTGAAATTTAAATAAAAATGCAACTAGCTGAAAGGTTATTGTCTTCCGAATGACAAGAATCATATACAAATATCTGGAATTTTACAAGGTAGATTTTGCAGCAAGAAGAAAGAGAAGCAGGAGGAGATGAAAGCTAAAGAAGGACACAGAGGAGCAAAAGCAGGAGATGAAGGAGAAGAAGAGCGAAGAGAAGAGACGGGAGAGTGGTAATCAAAGAGCAAGGAGAGGAGAGAAGCACCCATGAGATGAGGACAACTGATTTAGAGATATCACACATGATAGCAAAACAAAACAGCAGCGTGAAGCTTTAGGTCTAGGGTTTGGAAAACAAAGACATCATGTGTTTTGGAAAGGTGCATTCTGGACAGGGACAACCCGCTTGAAAGATATGGCTGGCAACAACAGAAGTGGAAACAGGAAGCTTCACAGCAGCTAGGTGAATCGATTGAGTTTATCAAGTTGACTTGCAAGTTGACCTAATCTGCAATTTGGTTCAATAATCAGGCCGACTTGCTGGATTTGATCTTGGTTGTGCCTAATCTGTAAATCTGGTGCACTAACTAGGCCTACTCGCTGCAATTGATCTCAGTTATCATGCGATCTTGGGGTGCAAGTCACTATTTCAACAACACTGCATCCATGATTCAGATCCATAAAGCATGGTTGACCTAGCAAGCACCTTCACAAAAATATCTCTTTCAATAAACAGCCATCTCAACATCCTCATCTCTACTACTTGTGTATGTTATCACATATTTTCGCCGAACATTATGAATCATAAAGAACAAACAATCATATAACTTCCTCATAGTGCTATCCTCTTGTAACATCTCAGACAACTTTTCATAAGCATATACTATTTGAAAACCCACTTTAACCATATAAGTATTTTAACCCTCTCCTTACCATGCAGTAGCAAGAGTCTATGCACGAGGCAACCCATTTTTTAACAATCACTTTTTGGAGTTTCCACTTCTCTATCGAATGAAAGAATCGAATAATACCAAAGAATGTTACACTTAAAATTTTTTGATGACCTATTTCAGCTATACTTTCACTTGTTTTTCCATTTTATGCCAGAGACCTTTTCTTTGATCTAGAACAGATACTAAGTGGTACCTTCTGAAGATTTTTTGTCAAGAACTCTATTTTAGAGTCTACAACAGCAAACATAAAGATTTCATCTAGAAATGTCTAGCAAGTCAATCCACCACATCTAAATAAATAATCAAACTCTTGGTGCAATTTACAATGACAGAAACTTCATCTCACATTCTAGCATACTTATGGTGTCACCCACCATTCCATCAAACATATCTTTGATCACTTTAATGTTGATCATATCAATGTCAACAAAATAAACTTTCTGTTTCTAGTATCAAATCATCGAGTCATAACAAAACGTGTAGATCTTTTCTTGTTTCTTCACATTTTTGTTATTCAACTTACGAATAAATGTCTTCTAAAATATATCTTTGACACTTCAAGAAGACATAATTAGCTTGATGATATGGATTAAGGGTAACAGTAGGCAACTTGTACCTTTGCACTCCTCTTTGCAGGGTATAATTAAGTCGAGAGGTACAAAAGATGCTGTAAATAAACTCATAAACGAATAAGATATCCTGATTAAGAAAAGCATCTAAAGTGGTCAAGGAAGGCAATCAATGACCTACCGAAGCACCTGGGTCCCCATTAATTGCCCCGTCTATCTTTCCTGATTGCTCTGCGGGACGTGAACCCTTGCCATTGCCCTTCAAGATTTCACCAGACGGGAAAGGAAAATTTAGTGCGGTATCCATATGAATCAAAATTTCGGAAAAAAAGATAATTCGCTGAAAACATAAAAAAAAAGAAACACAAGAAAAATACCTCGACCTAGGGCACCATCACGTTCGATTTCGCAGCAATAGTCGCAGAAACAAAGAAGCAATTCCTCCAATTAATACAGCACGACAAAAAGGGGTTCCTGTGTTAAAGTACGGAAGAGAAGGTAGGAGGTTCACCTCCCTGTAGAGCTGCAAGTAGAGCTTAAGGGGCTCGACGTACTCTTCGAAGCCGAGCGTCCCCATCGCCCACAGCAGATCGTCGCCGTTGATGGTCTTCCTCTTCTCCCGCTGGCACTTGTCGCTCGCTCTGCACCGAAACCCCCCACGAATAAGCAAAAGGGATAAAGAAAGGAAGCGAGAAGGGAGGTTTCGGCAGGGCTAACTCGCTGGTGATGAAGCTGATGAACTCAGAGACACACTCCTGCACGGACTCCTTGGCGTCCTTAGCGATCTTGCCGTTTTCCGGGATGGCCTTGCGCATGATCCGCCCGATGTTGGCGATGGGTAGGAACCGATCCTGCTCCCTGGCGCTCGCTCCTCCTCCGCCACCGCCGCCGTGGTCGCCGGAGTGACCGCTCTCCGGCGAGCCGGGGACCCCCGATTCCGCCATCGTTACCGAGGACCAAAACCCTAGCCCTAATCCCCATCGTCAAACAAGAGGAGAGAAGAAAGAATGGCTCCAGAGAAATAGAGCGAACAGCGTAAAGGAGAGTGGGAGGGGGGAGAGAGAGGGGATGTAAACTTACCGGGTTAGTAATGGAGGGAGTCAGCGGAGAAAGCGACGGAGCCGAGAGGGCGGAAGGGGGAAAGCAACGGATGGATGGCGACGGAGGCGGAGAAGAATAGAGCGAAGAGAGGAGAGTTGGGATCGAGTCGATTCGGTCCCCTCTCTCTCTGTATTTGAATAAGAAATTAGACTTGGAGGGAGTGCACATTACAATTGCAGTGTGGCTGAATTGAGTACCCACCGTAGTGGTTCATAGCATGGTCGTCATAGAATCAAATAATAGCAAATTAAAATATAAATATTAAGTACGATATTCGAATATTACGATATAACAGAAAGTCGATGCAAAATTAACATTGTTCGTATACTCGAATCTATAAAGAAAATTAAAATTCTTCATCATGTGAAATTAATTATAAATATTTTTAAGTTAATCCTAATTCAATTCTTTATAGATGCAATAGAGAATGTCATAATCTTTATCAATATTTTTTTCTCTCACAAAAATCATGAGATACATGATGTACTTATAAAAATAAATTCAAAGTAGTATGAATTATCCAAAGATATTTATCAAACTCAGCATAAAGAAAAAAAAACTTTATGTATTAATTATTCGAATCATAATCAGGTTTTCATTTGATACCATTTTGGTAGCCGCACAAGCAGATCATCTTACATGGATTAGGTGAACATGGACATGAACAAAAAGAAGATTATGTTGCTCACATGATTGATTGCCTTTGGTTGAGGACGGTACTATTAATACTACTATTTCATTTTGATTTCTCTCTTTTGTTGTTAATCTAGTAGATCAAATCGCAAGTGACGGAGTGAAGGATTAATTTAGCTTATCTTCTCAGGTGAGATACACTAATCAAAGCTATCCAAGCTAAGCTTATTTGTTCCAATTATTTTAATCCGTCCATAGTTGAAGGCATAGCCTCACATGCTTAACGTTTTTCCACCGAGGCTCGTAAGATGTCACCGTTAAAAACACAGGTGTTTTCGTGACTCGATAAATCCATCTCGGTATTAACAAAGCTATTGATTATTATCTTTATGTATGACATTAATTCTTTCATGATTATGTTAGTCACTCGATTTGATATCTCCACTGATCCAATAATAAAATTATAATATTTTGATTAAATTTGCTAATTTTTAAATAAGTCATGTGCATTAATCTTATCACATCATTCTAAACAGTAATATTTATGACCATCCAATCAAACATTGTTTGAACTCGCAAGAACATTAGATGTGATTATAGGATGATTCTTAAGTGATTTTAAGATAGTTCTAAAATAACTCTGAGATAGTTCTTGAGTAAGTGGGAGTCAGAACTTTTGAAGTATCGCTTGCACTAAGATTTGTCGGGAGACGTTTTCTGACCTCGATTTTTTTTCGAATACGATGTTTTCTGACATCGTATTCGAAAAAATAAAACCTTCGACATTGCTCTAAGAGTTGATTTTTATGGTTGATGAAGGGAGGAGACAATCCTATAATCATCCCAACTTTCTTCTTTAATGTTCCATAGGGATATATAGATCAAAGGTAATAAGAGGTCTTTCATTTCGCGTCAATTTTTGTGGTGATAGATGTCAAACGGTGATTGGCCGTTACGATGTTTCCTATCACCTAACACGGAAATTAGATGTAGATGAGACTGCGAAATTGACGGAAAAAAAAATTGTTGATTTGATTCGAGAGGTTTTGCGGGAGCCACTCTTGATTTGATTGGAGAGGTTTTGCGGGAGCCACCATGTCGCGTCGCTCGAGCAGGGTAGATATTTTGAGGCTACAATTTTGGGTTCCGAGAAATCCAGCTCGTCCGCGTCCGCCCGGTCGACACACGGCACAGTGATCGCGCGCGGGACCCGCCAGCCTCGCGGGAGCAGGAAAGTGGTGTTCCCTGGCTTGGATGTTACGGGGGAAATATCAGCTTCGCCGGAACCGCCGGGAGTCGACCGACGACCGCTGCGAAGGCTCAGGTGTTCTTCCCGGCAGCAGCCACTCACACCCCATCCTCCACCGTGTCCGGTGGCTTCTCTTAAGGCGGATACCCAACTGATCTCGCTCTGATATATCACGCTCTCTTCCTGCTCTTCGCTGCATGCATGCACGATGCATGGTCATCTTCTTGGTCGTCGGATGAACTCCAAACCATACACAAGACGAAGACTATACTTGCCACACGGTCGTGGACGAGAAAACGAGTTGCAGACCTCATCACTTTCCCTTCATCATCATCCTCCTCCTCCTCCTTACCCTTCTACTGCCACAGTCCTTATTCATGGTGACTTGCAGGGTAGCCACGCAGCTCACGAACAAACACACCTACATGTGCTTCACTGTTAATGACATGTTCTTCTCCTCTCCTTCTCCTCCTACCTGTCATGGAGATGGTGTCGTTCCTTTTCGAGAGTGAATAATGGGTTCAAGTTCTTTTGCACACGATCGCCATTTGTGGGCTGCAGATTCTGCAACAAGTTTAACCCATGAACTACATAAATTCTCACATGAGAATAACAGTTTCTTGCAGTGAATCAGATCCATTGTTGTTCTGAGATGACATCCTACATCACTGGAAGACCAGCCTGTTGCCAAGCTCCACTTGCCGCCTCGTAGTCTTCCTGCTATTGCTCATCCTCCTCCAGTTCATGACCAAACTCTAGCAGCAGCAGCAAAAGCCATTTTGCTCGGAGCCAAAAAGCTTGCAGAAAAGAATGAGAGTCGAGTCTCCACGAGCTACAATCATGGAGCTCATGACCTTGAACAGCTCAATCTCCCAAGTAAGCAACCTGGTAATTCTCCACGCATGATCTCCATCGAGAAGGAGGCTGTTCCGGAACGAGGCTTCGCTGTTTGGGATCGAGAAGGCTAGGTTAATTCAACAAACACCTGGTGTTCTCCTCGATCATCACCGGACTTCACCTTCGGGCGGTGGCCGGTGGATGCACCCAAGCTCACACAGTCCGGTTCATGGCGAAGTCTCGTAACCAACTGTTGGGTTGGACTCATCGAGAGAATCTATTCACCATGATTACTTCCTCCTCCTCCTCCTCATCCTCCATCATCATCTATTACAGTGTCCCTGCACCCAAACAAGAGATCGTAATAGCTGCAATGGGAAAGATGAAGCACATAGAACACAAGAAAAGACAGCATAAACATCTGCTACTGCCTCTGTTTCAAAGCAACAGGAAGACGACTACAAGGAGGATTGAAGCCATCTCTTCCCAAATATACCTGAAGATAAACTTCAAGAGAAGAGAAAGGAAAAAGAAGAAAAATTGTAATTTTCCATGATCATGACCGAGATCTTTTCAGACTCTCTTCCTCGATCCACCATGACCACACATCGACACAAATCCCTCTCAAGGAAGCCATCGAAATTATGGTTTCCATCCTCTTCTCCATCTTCATCGTCACCATCACAAACAACATCGAAATTGGACCGTGCACGAATTGAAGCCATCAACCCACACGAATTCCATCTCGCTTTGCACCAACCATACCAAAATCGTAAAATTAACACCAAGAAGAGGGGAAATTAAAAACGAATAAAATTGAAAGTAATAGGGTAAAAAAAGGGTGATATGTTTGAGATCTGTCGATCCGTTCCGTAGTGTTTGGAGTCTACTCCAAGTAACGAAGGGTGGCGTTCGTGTCCGCCCTCGTGATCTCTCGTGGTCGCCCCCGACGCGTTCCTTCGAACCCTGGCCGCAATTACCGCGGATCGCGTGGGGAATTTAGGGATCGGAGGGCGATTTGGTGGGTTCTTGGATCGGTGGCGCGGAATTCTGGCTTCGGTGGGATTAGGGTTTCCCGTCGCGGCGACGGGATGATCATAAAGAGGAGCCAGAGGGTGGTAATGCCGACCCTGAAGCGGTGCAATGCCGAGGTCACCGTCGGTGACGGCGAGGGCGACGGCGGCGGGAAACGCCGGAAGAGGCGGAGGGAGGGGGAGTCATTCCCTCTCGAGGTGCTGGGGGACGTCGCCGCCGCCGGAGGGTTCCCGTACGTCGCCCTCGGGTTCGGGCGGTGTCTGGGTGGAGAGGACGCCGCCGCCGCCGTCGCCGCCGATGCAGTGGCTGCTTCTTGGTGCAGCGAGGTCTCCTGCTGCTCCGGTGAGATGGACTCCGTGTCGCGGAACCGGCGGATAAGGGAGAGGGAACGAACCCGTGAGGCGGCGCCGCCGGAAGTGCGGCCGCCGGTGGTTCGGACCTCGAGAGGCCGCGCGCAGACGCTCCCCTCCAGGTTTAACGATTCCGTACTCATCGACCCTTGGAAGAAGGAGAAGCCCAAGACAAAAGCTCCGGACACGGACTCGGAAATCAAGGCTGAGCCAATGGAACCTCGAAAAGAGAACCGTAGCTATAAGAGTTCCAGCCATAGTTCCATCTTCCCTGTTTCAGTTGCATTGTTTGATGAAGAAGAAAGATACCGCGCATGCAGAAATATCAGCTTGGAGAAGTGCTCGTTGTCACAGAGTACTTCGACATCTCTTTGTGAGGGTCTTGAGACAAGGGAGGAGAGACGGCCAAATCCGCGTTTCCGTTATCCGGCAAAGAAAGAAAAGTTGCAGAAGAAAACGTTAGAACAAGGGAAGGATTACCATCGACTGGAGGAGTTTGCTTGTGGCGATATTGTTTGGGCGAGGCCGGGGAAGAATTGTCCAGCTTGGCCTGCAATGGTAATCGATACAATGCAGCAAGCTGTGCGACAAATTACAGACGCCTACATCCCTGGTGCCATCTGTGTGATGTTCTTTGGATACTCTGGAAGTGGAAACGAGAGGGTAGATTATTCTACTTGTATCTTTTTCTTATTTGATTTTATTCTGTCTGATTACCCGTGTCACTGGATTTTAGCAGGAGTACGCGTGGGTGAAGCAGGGAAGGGTTTTTCCCTTTATTGACTATGTAGACAGGTCAGTATTCCGATTCGGGATATGAGAGGATAATTTGATGTATTCTTTATAAAATTTTGATCTCCATTGCAGATTTCAGGGGCAGACAGGGTTGCATGGCTGCAAGCCAAACAATCTGAGAATAGCCATAGAGGAGGCCTTCTTAGCTGAACATGGTTTCACAGGGGTGCAGGTTGATGGGATGAGTACAAGTGGGGAACCTGCTTATGTTTCTGGGATCAAGGA